GTATTTCTCCTACATGAAACATAACAGAAATTAAAGAGGTTGCTGAATGAGGAAAATAGATTAAAATAATAAAAAAATGACTTTTAGATTTAAAACTATTGTTAATTTATTATAGTAAGAATTTATTTACATTTAACATTTATAATTTTTCTCTAATTCTTTACTTATTGCTTCCTTGCTGTTGGTTCTGGAAACAGTGTTCTGACCCAGTAACCTGAGGCAGCCCCTCCCCCATCTCCCCTACTGAGGCTGACCTGCTGCTCGTGTCTTTTTTTATTTAGTTAGTTTTATTCCTTCATCCTGAGCATTTTTGCTGCTCAACAAATAACTTTGAGCCTCAGTCAGAAAAAAACCCTAGGGTTTTTGTACTTTTGGCCCGAGAGGAAGAGGAAACAAACGGTGGATTTGGGGGTCCTCCGCACGTTTCTCCTCGCGATGCAGGAAGACCGCTTTTTAAAAAAATTTAATGTGGCAACTACTTTTTATCATATCTTCGGATCTACTTGGCTTAACAACACGATTTGAAAACTGGTTTAAAGTTCGAAGTCTCTGCTTTTCACTCGGGGGTAGAGTTTTTTTGTCTTCCCAAACGTTTTTAGGTCAGCCTGCATTGACAACGCTCTGCGGGTGACGTAAACCCTTCCCAAAAAATGAACAACAGGAAAAAACAAAAGGCAAATAAGCTGAGTGGTCAGTGCTTCATTTGTGCGGGTTTGTGCTGTTGAAACAGCTGTTTGTGCTGCTATAATTTATGATATGTTACACGTTAAAATTTCAGACGATCACGTGACTTGTTGACGTCTGTGACAACGGGCCAAGTCACGTCATCGTCCGAAATTATAACATGTAATGTATCATAAACTATAGCAGCACAAACAGCCGTTTCAACGGCACAAACCTGCTCAAACAAAGCACTACAAAATTCTACAGTTTGGTTCATTTTTGGTTCATTTTGGATCAAGCGGGTGGGATGGTGACCCCTGAATGACCCTTACAAATAATCTTTAATATATAAAAAAAACATAGCAGCACAAACGACACTTTCAAGTGCACAAACCCGCACAAGCGAAGCACTAACCGCTCAGCCTATTTGCCTTTTTTTTCCTGTGGTTCATTTTTTGGGAGGGGTTGGTTTCACTCAGCTCAACTGAATGATTTGAAGTGAAAAAGAAACATTTAAAAGCACATGTCCACTTTAACTTAACTTAACTTAACTTAACTTAACTTAACTTAACTTAACTTAACTTAACTTAACTTAACTTAACTTACTTAACTTAACTTGTGTTCATTTGTCACAGTAGTTAAGACAAGTTAGGACTAAGCTTGTCTTAACTTGTCTTTGTCATCCTTGTCCTTGTTGAGGCAGAAATAAAGGGTTGGCACAAAGACCAGCCTTGTTATCAAGTTTCATCAGTCTGTTTTCTTGGACCAGGTGTTTATTGCTGAAAGACAAGAACATTGTCAGAATTGAAACAGCAAAGAGTTAAACTAACTATATTTGCCTAACTGTGTCTTTCAGAGAGGAGAAGCCAATCCAGGCCAGAACAGTGAACCTGGTTGGACAGAAGAAACCTCCACCGCAAAACGACGTCCGGTGAGTTTAGAAAAATGTTCAGCTGCCATCTCTGAGCCAATCAGTGAGAGGGATTTTAAATCTGATTTTATAGTTAATGATTCTGGATCAGCTTTGACGTAACATAAATTAAATAATCGGAATCAATCAACCTACCTCAAATACTTAACTGTGAAATGTACTTCATTCAAACTTTCCAATTTACAGTTTTTCAGGGCGTCTACATTAGCTGATTGATTGTAAACTGCTCCTCTTCACCAGCTGAGTGATGCTTCATCCTGTGAAGCACAGTTAAATGTTGCAGTTGCTGCCTGTCACCTGTCAGGGAGACAGATCAGCGTGTTCAGTCCAGTACTGGGATTACTGAGTTGTTAAAAAGCAAGCTAAGTTCTCCCACTGGATTCAGGACGTCTCTTTGTCTCTGCTGCCTGTCTGCTTGGTTTAAGGAGTAATTTTCTTCATGGGTTTGTAACATTCTTCTTCAACTTGTTCCCACATGTCACGAGATTTTAAGCAGGTCATTAAAAGGTGCTATCAGGTTCCACAGATTTGTCAGAAATGACTCCACGGCTCATAGCCATGTTTTGCCAGAGAATTTATTTCTTTTGCGTTGCCTTACAAAACTTTCTGCGTTACCTCACAATACTCAAATGTTTTGTACTGACTGTACTGAATGCTTGAAAGCTTTTATTTTAAAATATCTGGTTACTGAAACAGGATGCGAAACCACAAGTTAGGGACATTGATGGCGATATGATGCGCCTAAGAGATATTTACGTTGAAGCTGAGTTAAAGTAGTAACTCCCGTATGGTGCGCACGCAAATTTATTAATAAACCGGCAGACAAAACACTTCATTGTTACCTCCAATACTTTGTGGGATTGCTGAAGCAGACAGCAGCAACAATGGAACAGACACTACACCCGTTTAAAGTTCAGTGATTTTTATTCTGAAATTTACCTTAAAAATGGGGAAATTCAGTCTGTGCTTGCCAAAAGGCTTGAGTGTCACATCAGTGGCATTGCAAGGGAATGCAATAAATAAATAAATAAATACATAAATAAATAAATTCCCCAATGTCCCCTTGGGGGCTCTGTAAGATCAACAACAGTAACAATGGCAAAAACCAGTATTGTTTTGGTCTACTCACCTTTTTTAATATGAATGAACAAACCAAGGGTTCGGCGATACTGATAAAATGTTTTTCACGATTAATTGTGACATTTAGCCAATAATGATTTAAATGACGATTAATAGATCAAAGTTGTTTTTGAAGTCGAATTAGTTACTCTGTGTTCTAAAATTATACTTACAAGTCAAAAGGAAAAAAATTGTATAGGTCCTCTGGACGGGTTCTTCTTTAATGAAATGTTTCGTCTCTCTTCCAAGAGACTTCTTCAGTCTGAGAGTTTCAGGCAAAATTCAGGCTTTTAAGTCCTGCCTCCATGTGACTGATACTCACATCACATG